ATTTCATCATGATCTGACTCTCCTTTCGAAAGTTATCGTGTAAACGGCCGGACATACTGACCGATTCTAGAGTGTACTCACTTTTTGAGTACACAAAAAGAAACATATTTTACCAATTTCATATTGATCTTTTAGGAATATATGGTAGCAGGTGATATGGATCAACAAAGATTATTAAATAAACAAGCTGAATGGGCTATTACTATGAATGAACAACGTCGAGCTGCGGAATTATTTATTGCTGCAAATGATTATCAAAAAGCAATTGATTTAGCTGGAAAAAATAAATGGGTCGATTTGTATGTAAAAAAAAAAAAAAAATTTAGTTTAATGAAAATTATTTTAAGAACATTTTGGAAAAGTCTATTTTCTGATTACAATGAAAGAATTAAATTATAGGATGATTGATTTTAAGAAAGGAAAGTCTTATTTAAACAATTGAGAAGGATTTTTCTCTTATGTGAAAAAGACTTGTCTCCAAAAATGAAAGCTGTATACGTCACAACTACTATGATTTATCTTGAAGAACAACTTTTAATTTACATAAACGATAATAACTAAAAATGATCTTACATAGAATATTTTATTAAATCTTTCAGAGCTCACGAAAATCATAGCGAAATCTTATGAGAGAATATGTTTGACTATCGGATTTAATTTAAATTTTATGATATAGATGAAAATAGGATCTATTAAAACACTGAAAAATAAATCCTTAAGAATAATTATTCATTTTTACATTAGACTTGACAGTAGTTTTCTAAGGATATATATATATTCATAATTTCATATACCGCGATAGAGTCTATCGAGTCGACAGGCTCTTAATGCCAATACAATAGATCGGTTTCTATACTAATTTTTTGTTTTTGTTTGAAAAATTTAGATTAGCATCAATAACAAGTAAATTAGATAAATCTCAAATTGATTTGTTACGACGTTGTGCACGTTATTTTGTTGAAATGAAACAATATACATATGCTGCTGATGTTTATGAAAAAATGGGTGATATTAAATCTTTACTTGATATGCGTGTTATTTTATCTCAATGGGATGAAGTATTTATCTTAGTTCGTCGTTATCCAACATATGCATCTGATGCATATTATCATTATGGTCAATATTTAGCTGAACATGATCGTTTTGTTGATGCTCAACGTGCATTTCATAAAGCTGGTCGTGTTAATGAAGCACGAAATGTTTTACAAGCGTTAACAAATAATGCTGTTAATGAAACACGTTTTAATGATGCTGGATATTATAATTGGTTATTATCAAAAGAATATTTAACAGCATTAAGTGAAACATTAAATGATGATTTACGTACTGATTTATTTAAACGTTATCATCGTTGTTCATTATTAGCTGATCTTTATTATGCATATCAATATATATATGAATATACAACTGAACCATTTGTTGATACACCACCTGTTATATTATTTAATATAGCACGTTTTATATATCATAAATTAGCTAATTTAGCTGGTGATATACCAGCAGCATTATCAAAATTTCGTACATGTTATGCTGCATGTAAAATAGCAAAAATATTAAATGCTAATAAATTTAGTCGACAAATGATTTATTTAATGCGTGATTTAACATTTACACATAATTTAGGTAATAAACGAATTGAAATTGAACAATTAGCATTAGAAATGGAAGCACGAACATTTAGTGATGATCATGAATTATTACCTTTATGTTATCGTTGTTCACATCATAATGAATTATTAAATGCACGTGGAAATGAATGTTCAAGTTGTGGAAGTCCATTTGTAAGTTAAATTATTTTGCACAAAACACGATCTAAAAGGATTCTTGAAGTATAGAAGTAGAAATTTGCATTCTTCCATTCCACAGACGTTATAGACACATTTAGCAACAGACCATGACAAAAAGAAGGAAAAATATCCCTGACTTTCAATTATCGTAAAGTATAAATTGCTGTTTAGCAACAAATTTAATAGTCCAATATCTTCTGTACAACTGATACTAGTTGTAGCTCTGAACAGAAGATCGATCTGACATAGAGTTATTGCACTTAATTGCCTGAGCTCTTCCCAGTGAAAAATTTTCGCGATTTTCAATCGGATTTTTGTGCAACAAAATCAAAATTACAATCGATTGATAATTTTGATTATTGTTGATCATGACTTAACTATTATTTGATATTGTTGCTTATCCAGTGTAAAATTTTCTGATTGAGATCGGATTATTTTGCAGCACAATCGAAATTATTCATCGCTTTAT